AATATGGGAAGCATCCTTTGGAGTGACCACGTAAAAATATGGAGAGGAGATGGTCCTGGATTCTGTCACATAATATGATGTAAATCCAATCATTGTGTTCTGTAAAAGTTTGCTTATTATCTTTTTTGGTCAGAACTTCGCACCCAGCAAACACCTTGCAACTAGCTAGGTTGCCAGTTACCAACTATTGATTGGGAAATTCCTGGAGATTTGTGGGTCAAGCGTAACTTCACCGTGTTATAATGCCTTAGAGTCCACCTTCCAAAGCAGACATTTCCTCCAGAGGAACTATCCTTGTAGTCTGGATATCAGTTGTAATTCCAGGAGATCTGCAGGCCCCACCTGGAGTTTAGCCGCTCTATTACTATTATTATTTATTTCATTTTTATACCGCCCATAGCCGAAGCTCTCTGGGTGGTTTACAACAAGTATAAAACAATCAAAATACAATAAAGAATCAAGAATTAAAAATTATAATACACTAGGACACAGCATCGAGAATTAAAAATTATAATATCCTAGCTAGATATTATAGTATCTGGAGCTGCGGTGGCTCAAGTGGTTAAGACGCTGAACTGCAGGCTGTGGAAGGTCGGTAGTTCAGCAGTTCGAGACCCGGGTGCCGCATGATGGAGTGAGCTCCCATCTCTAGTTCCAGCTCCTGCCAATCTAGCAGTTCGAAAGCAAGAAATTGCAAGGAGATAAATAGGTACCACTTCGGTGGGAAGGTAACAGCGTTCCGTGCGCCTTGGTGTTTAATCATGCCGGCCACATGACCACAGAAACGTCTTCGGATAGCACTGGCTCTTTGGCTTTGAAACGGAGATGAGCACCGCAACCCTAGAGTTGGATTCGACTGGCTTTCGAGCAAGGGAACCTTTACCTAGCACACAGCTTGCAACTTCCTTTGGTGCACAGAAACATAATTCACTTCAGATTTCATGCCAGTGTGAGAGATGTTTCCCCTCAAAGGTGCACTGGCAGACAAAATGGATAGTTGCCACTGCACCTCAGCCCCAGTGGAGTCCTATGCCCACTTTTAAGTTTAAACTGTCACATGGATAAACAACATGATTGCCCCAAAGAGACTGCAAAAATGTTCATAGTTTAAACGTATACTGCTGCTGTTCTGAGGTGTCTATTCTGACTGGCATCAGGTCTCCAAGGTCTCAGGCTGAGGTTCTGCTGATCTGCAATCTTACACACTGTATAAGGTTGCCAACTTTAGAAGAGAAGCCTGAGGGGGGTGGGATTTTAAGGGAAGGTACCTGTTGGAAGTTCCAGATGTGATGTCCCTGTCTCACCCTCCAGACTGAGTGGCAAGAGAGGCTAGATAGCCACACGGACCTTTCTTCCTGTATCTACTCTTCTGCCACTGTCCTCTTTGAAATGCAGATTGTGTTCTCAGGGATCAACTTCCCTTTCCTCTTTCTGTCTCACTCTGTATGAAGACTTGCTCTCTACCTGCACGCACCAAGAGAGGGACATACTGTCCTCTCTTGGCACCTTGAGGCAGATGGGCCTCTTGCCATCTGCCTCCATCCTTTAGCTAGTAAATTAGTACTCTGTCAATCTCTGCTCTTTCCTATCCAAAGTGTACTTCTCAAATAAAGAGAGAAGTATTTCTCTTCTAAGCTTGCTATGTGGCTCCTGTGTAGCTTTGTAAACTGAATAACCTGGTAAAGTGACGCTCCTGCGTTTGTAGCTTTATTTAAGTGCTCTGCTAACTAATGGTGATTGGACTAACCATACCAGTTAACCTCAATAGTACCTACCGGTACATGGGGTATAATGTCAGAGTTCACCCTCCAAAGCAGCCATTTTCTCCAGGGAAACCAGTCTCTTTCTTCCGAAGATCAGTTGTTATTCAGGCACCACTTGGAGGCTGGCAACTCTACATTTTTGAAACTGGAGCTACCACAGACCAAAACTGGGGTCTTCTACAACTGAACTACTGTATTTTCTTTTAGACCAGTTTATTCACTCCACAGTGATGTGGCCATCTCATAACACTAGGGCTGCCAACCTCCAGGTGGCACCCAGAGATCTCCCACTATTACAATTGATCTCCCAATGACCATGATCAGTTTCCCTGAAGAAAATGGCTGCTTTGGAGGATGGATTCTATCTATAGCATTACATCCTGCTGAGGACCCTCCCATCCCTAACCCCACCCTCCCCAGGCTGCACCCCCTCCAGAATCTCCAGGTACTTCCCAACCCTGAGTTGGCAACCCTACAAAATAAATTTCTTACATATAAAATTTGCATGCAGAATACATGTTTGCCAGCAAACACACCCAGCTTAAATACAGTTACAGAAACCAGCACCTGGGTCCATTTCTTTAACGAGTGTCATCTCAATCACCTCTCTAGCCTTCATACCACCATCAACCAGAAACAAGCAAAAATGGGTACATCAGTCTCAGTTCATTCCAAATGTATGAGATAGAGTTGTGTTTAGAATTAAACTCTGAAAGGAGGGAACATTTCATGGCAGCATTACATGAAATCTCATTCTAGTCAGCTAATCTGTCAAGGCTGTTGTGAGCCTTCAGGATGGGTGGACAATAAATCCAACTTAATAAATATCAAATACCTAAATAAATCTGCACAGCAAAAAATAATTTCAGTAATACCAAAGAAGGGAAAATTACAAGTGTTGGAGCACAGAGTTATATGTCGCTCATGTTGTTAACCCTGCTCTCCAGCTGTTCAGAAGCAAAGTATGTTCATATATATTTTCCAAAAGTAGCATAATTACTGCTCACGGATTTTCTAAACTGAGCCTAAAAATATTTACAAGTTAGTACTCCCAGTTACTTTATTGGGCCTTTTCATATAGCAGGGAATTGCAGCATTGGTCATATGGACTGAGAAAAGTACAACTAGTTCTGTATGCATGCTAGACCATTGAATACAAGCAGTATAAAAGATTGCCATTTTTAATATTTTTGGTTTAAGCAACGTAGTTTCATAATTTAATTTACCATAATTTTGATCTGTGTTCTCTGTGTTCAAGTGCCATTGTTTGCTAAAATACTGGGGTTAATTTGGTAACTGGATTTCCCCCCCATTCTTGTTGTAAAATAATGATTTAAGTGCATTTCTGTTTGTGCTGCCAAAAAAAAAACAACCCCGCTCATGCTGTGACCTGTTGGAAATGAGCTGACAGGCTTTATCCTTGTGTGATACATCTGTAGTGTCTTGCTGTTCCCAGCTTAGATTTCTCTGTAATTAATGCCGAGTGCTTTTTGAGTTGGCATGTTTGGCCAGTAATGTATCTTTTTTCGTCTTAAAGGTTATTTCATCTTCAAGGAGCTAAACTGAAATAAAGAGCATATGTGATATGTTCTTTTGAGAATGCTGTTCATATCCTTGCCTTTCTCCTTTAAAGCACTCTCTCAACTACTGTTGGCCTCAAACCCCAGAAATTAAGTTTGGATGCGAAATCTGGATCTGTTATTTGGCACTGATTACTTAGCCATACATTTCTAAAGATAAAACAGAAACTGTCTGGCTAAATTATCTGACTAATGCAGAACTGTGATAAAATTCAATACACATGGGTCATAAACGTTCATTACAATTGCAGAAACTAAAGCAATCAGAAGTAACTTATGCTCTTAACTCAGCGAACAGTACTGACAGGAAATGGGGCAAATCATCAGTCCAATGGACCCCATCTGTTGAGTCTATCCATCTTTTCTGTTTTATTCTCAGTCTTTTCAAGCTAAAGCAAGGCTTTTTCAGTTTTCATAGTTGAAAACTGAACATTAGTTGGTCAAGCTGTATATTCCTTCTGATTCTGATAAATACTAGCCCTCTAATAAAAATCATTCCCAATATTTTCCTTTGTAATATATGAAAAAATATGCAATCATCTTTAAAACGTACTCTGTGATTCTTTAATTGGGTGGAACGTATTCTGTGTCTGAGATTCATTGTGATATATGCCACCAATGTTCTTCTGTTTAAGAAAGGAACGTATTCTTATCCACAACAGAATGTGACCAGAGTTAGAAGACGTTAATAGCCAGGATCCAAAAAACTACACAACTAATTCTTCGTGCCAAAAGGGGCTTTGGCCTTAACGTTCTTTGAACTGCAGCCAAACACCCCCCTACCACTGTCACCATTTTCATGGGAAACCATTTCTTACTGATAGAAATCTCTAAAGTGGTTTGTAATATGGCATGGGCGTATGGTGTACAAGTAAAAACATTCCCCGAGCTAAAGAAAGCTTAGGAGTGCTTAAAAGTTGTGTGTGTTTCTTAGGCTAAAAAGAGAATCTATACCTGAATTTTAACAAATTAATGCAGCATCTGTGGACTGAGAGTATTATCTGCAATATAATCTGCCAAAAGCAGAAGGCAGGAAAAGTGAAATTTAGGGGGGAAATTCTATTTTGTTCATAGGAAACTCAGATCAACCTGCTATTTTTGTTGTATGAGGAGTGCTACCAGTGTTCTTAGTTCAGTTCATGACACATTTTATCTCCCCCGTCTCACACACAATGTTGCTATCCAGCCAAAACCTTCATATAATTAAAAACCACAGGCACTCATTCAAAGTGTCAGATCAAAAGGTTAATGTGCTGTGGTAGAGAGGAAGTACTTATATTATACCCTTGAACATTTTTTGAAGTTTGCAGCATTTAAAAACAAGTTAAGTCAAACTCTGGCCAAAGCTAATATTACATCATTTGATTTAAAACATTAATCATAGTTGTTTTAAACCAGTTGATCCAACTGTTTGGCTGGCTGGGGGGGGAAAACAACAACTCATGAGGAGTGGCTTCTAATATACTTTATAGTGCTAAAGCTCAGACATACAAAATGGCAACTAGGGGCACTTAAATCAAGACAAAGTCCAGTATGGTGTTTCTTGCAGTGTCATTAATTAAGGCAATTATGAATATCAGAGTTTCATTGCAGATTTTGGCACTGATTGTACATGCTAGTTATTCAAACTGAAATTATATCTCATAATTTATTTCAGCTCTGAGGTTCTTAGAGCGATTGAAAATGTTATTGAAGATGTTATCGCAAGTTTGTCCAGAAATGAAGCACCCCTTCTCTTATTGACTAACAGATCAGATTGGGATAACATACAGTAAGTATCACTATCCTTGATAAATCTGATCAATATCACAATTTTGTTCTTCTTTCTTCTACATATGAACCAAGTCATGGTGCAGTTTCCACTTCATTTTTGGGTTTTTTTGTTTTTGTAATGAATTTGCAAAAAAATGTAGGTCTGTCAAACATCACAAACTTTGACTAGTTTGTGAAGAGAGCAAGCCCGGTTTATCCTCGGGCTTGTGCATTCTCTTTGCCTTCACTTCTTGAGCAAGATGCTGATTTTGAAGTTTTTGTGGCTTGGAACAGAATCAAAGATTTTTGTGATGCCCAAACTGGAGTGCTTTCAACTCACTGCATTTTGTTTCTGTCTGAAAACTGATTTGTGGGTTTCAAACAGGAAGTCTTCAGTCTGAGTCCGTGTGTGTGGGCGGGGGGGCGCGGAACCATACACGATTGAGGATAATCCAAATTCATTCTTGTGACAAACTGGAGTTGGTTCATGACATCTGAATTCAGCCATTCAGACAGTGCATAGTTGTTAGTTAATGCATAATATTGGTATTCATTCACACAACTGGTTTAGCACATGGTATTATGGCTGAAAGTCACCATGGGCTCACTAAAAGCCACAACTGTCACATGCTGAAAAGGTCATGACGATATGTCCTGAAAGTGAATGACAATACAAATCCTGAAACAATAACTTAGAAACTCAGTCATGTAGAAGCCACGGAGACACAAATGAACAGCCATTCCCTCTCAGGGCTCATTTTCAGGAGACTTCTACTATGGAAGTCTGAGGGGACAATCTTCAGCCAATCAATCTATGTGCATATGATAGCAGAGGCTATGTAGAAAACTAATGAAAGAGTAAGGCTGGAGGTTAAATAAGGTGGGTGGGTTGGTCTTCATGAATCAGAAGGCTGAAGGGCTGCTGCAAGGCATAAATATAAGGGTTGCTGATTTCTTTTTATACGTGTGTTGTGTGATTGCCTGGAAGACTTCTGGCGACCCCTACTGGGGGCTTGGACATTTTTCACAGAGGTGGCTTGAGTAGCCTGCCTCTGTGTCCCACATCTAGTATTCCTTGGAGGTCGCCCTGCCAAGTACTTGCCAGTCGGCCCTGCCTAGCTTCTGAGATCTGAGGAGATCGGGCTTGCCTGGGCTGTGATAATAGTCAAATGTTATGATTTGATTATCTTTTATTTATTTATTTATTTATTTATACTTTCCATTTGTACCCCGTTCACCCCCGAAGGGCTCTGAGCGGCTTACACGGTGCATG